CCACACAGAGGGTCAACTGCAGAACAAGGACCACACAGAGGGTCAATGATAGAACAACAGCCACATAGAGGGTCAACTGCAGAGCAAGGACCACACAGAGGGTCAATAGAACAAGGACTACGCAGAACAATAATTCCAGATCATCAGAACATATACTCAACTTCAGAATCAAGTACAAAATCTAGGGAGATGACTTATAAATACACAGTAAGCCCTCCACAGGAAGAGATGTTTCAGGGGCAAACATATGAAGAGGAACTACAAGCTCCAACATCAAGTATAAAAGACTACCTCTCAGGTAGGAACGCAGTTCTCTGACATCATCAGCTCCTTGTTTTGTGGAGTGGTTTTAAAAATGTTTTCTGGATACAACCATTGAAATTTGAATCTTTTCTAGCTTATCAAGTCATGCAAATATCACACAAGTTTTGTTACTCAACATGAGTCTATAGCTTGAACAATCAATTAAATCCAAATCAGAATACCTCCATCGTCAATTTAACAATAATCTCCTTTTTCACTACAAGCCCATTTGTGAGGAAGAAATAGGTTAATGTTAGATACAGAAATGTTTTAACTGGGTCTCTGAGTAATCAGCAGAGACTTTTTATTCTAAATGTGGTATATGATATTAGAAACCACTTTTCACAATTTCTTGTATTGCAACTATAAAATGGGTCCTACTTTTTTTTCAGTTATATACACAGTACTATATGTTCTAGCAGAGTTTCTGAAGTCATCTTTAAGACAGAAAAAAAACCCTGCAGTTTAAATATTTATTCTGCAGAAAACGTTTTTCCTGAATTTCCTATTCCAATTAATTCCATTTTTGTTGAAAATGCTAATCTTTCAGACAGCCGATCTCATACCTTTTAATACCTCAGATAACTATAATTTTTAAAAGTTCCAATTGTAAAGGAGCCCTGGTGATGCAGTGGTTAAGTGTTTAGCTGCTAACTGAAAAGTCAGTGGTTTGAAACTCACCATCCAATCTGTGGGGGAAAAAAATGTGGCAGTCTGCTTCCATAAAGATATCAGCCTTGGAAACCCTATGAGGCATATCTATTCTGTCCTATGTTGTTGTTCTTGTGTGCTGTGGAGTCAGACCCAACTCTTAGCGACCCCTCCTTAGGTTTCTGAGGCAGTATCACTATGGAAGTAGATTGCCCACACTTCCTCTTACACGGACGCCTGGTGCTCTGGTGGTGTCGTGCCTAAGGCATTTGACTCCTAACCAGAAAGTTGGTAGTTCAAACCCACCAGCCACTTGGTGGAAGGAAGACTGGGCAATCTACTTTGTAAATGTTTACCACCCCGGATACGCAAAGGGGGTCACTATGAGTCAGTATTGACTTGATGGCAGTGAGGTTTTTTTTTTGGTTTATCGGTTCAGTGTGAGTTGGCATAGACTCTCTGGCAATGAGGTTTTATTATTATTATTGTTACTTTGTTTATCTAATTCTGAAGTCCCATAGTCCCAAAGAAATTCTAATTTAAAACCCCAAAGATGGATAACCTGTGTTCTAGATTCTGCATCATCACTGACTAATTTGAAATCTTTCATTTTTTCAACCTTATGTTTATTTCTCCACGAAATGAGGCTACTAATTTCTGGCTTTTTGTACATATTTGTTGTTGTTGTTGTTAAGTGCCGTCGAGTCGTTTCCGACTCATAGCGACCCCATGCGTTGCAGAACGAAACACTGCCCGATCCCGCGCCAACCCCACAATCCCTGCTATACTTGAGCCCATCATCGCAGCCACCATATCAATCCATCTC